AATGGCATAAGTTGTTGTACTTGAGCTCGCACCCCTTGTCTACCTCGATATCCGGACCGCCTAGACGATTCGGGATTCGGGACACGATTGTGGTCGACGCAGTACACTTATCTAGACGACAAACGACACGTCATTTGCATTACACTGTTAACGCTCAATCGCGATGCTCGGACGGTGTCGCCACGCCTTCGTAGTACGCGAGGACATAGTCGTCGGCGTCGGCAGTGACCAAGAGAAAGCGGCGTTTCTGCCATTGCCATAGACCAATCGCCATGGTCGTCGTGATGCCCGCAAGTATGGTCGCGATCATTTGCATCGGAAAGACGTAGCGTTCCGCGTCCCGCGCGAGCGCACTGTAGCAGCCATAGGGCATCGTGGCCAGACTGCGCAAGCCGTAGTACCGGTACCATCGGCCCGGCTCGTAGTGCAGCTGGTAGCTCTCGACGCGGTCGCTCATGTACATGGTGCAAAAGGCTCCAAACACAGCGTCGGTTTCGCGCATGGGGCACAGCCGTCGAAGCGCCGACCCCAAATGCAGTGGGTCACTGGTCGCTTCCATGATGCGCTCGCAGCCCGCGCACGCGGCCTCGATACCTGCATCGTTTTTCGTCGTCTCTCGGCGCATCGCACAGTACGCGTTCAGCGTCATGTTGGGCGACACGCGGCGTCCCTCTAGCACCTGTGGTAATGACGACGTGATGAGGTCGCTCACACTTGCGCGGGTCGCGTTCTCGTCGGCGAGACCGCCGCCGTTTGCAAGGCTCACGCGGATCGGCAGGGTGTCACAAAACACCTTGCCTTCGGTGTTGCAGTACGCCTCGTCGATTGCGCGGTACGGAGTTTGGTCTGGCATGGTCAGCGAGACATCGTACTGGTGGAGGTACGGGTTCCTCGTCGCATTCCTCACGGGTCGACGGAAGAACAGAGCGTCGTCCAGCTCCAGTAGCGCGCGGTCCATTGTGTTGAAGAAGACGAGGAAGCCGATGCCATACATTGTCGCGCTACAAATCGCAAGCACGGCGGCCAGCGGCAGCACGGACCCGTGGCGCTTGAGGCGCAGGCCGAGGACGAGGCCGACGCCAGCGACAACCAGCGTGGTGGCCGAGAGCGCCATGAGGACGTCTCGGTGCAAGTAGATGCTGGGCCAAAAGACGCGACTTGCAATGAACGTGCAGAGACCAAATGCCAAGGCAGCGACGTCCAGCGTGAGGTAGACACACACGAGGAGTCGAAGCTGCTGCATTTGGCGTTGGACACGGAAATGGACGCAACTGCAAACTGGCCAAGATGGTCCCATGCACTAAAAACACGCCACTTGGCCTGTCGCTGCACCACGTCATGGCCTTCGTGAGAGTACTACCGGTATGCTACTAGTCCTTCGTGGGACGAGACGCTGAGGGCGCCTTCAACACTTTCAGTTGAAGAGTTTGCTTGCGATGCGTCGTTTCGCCTAAGCTGAAGCGCCAAAAAGAGGCGTGCCGAGGCCGTCGCATTCACATTGGCTTCGCCCCATGGCTGCCTTCACTCGCAACAAGCGACGAGTTGGACGCTCCCCACCATCATCCGCTGCGTGTAGACCCAAGCTTGATGAGGCACGCTTCAACGACGACCAGCGCACTGCACCATACACAAAGCATGGTACGGGCAATGGCATGACGACCTTTGTGCCCTTGGTATTCGTTGGGGCATCAAGACAGGAGCCGCACGTATCAATGCCTTGGGTACGTAGTTGTATGGTTCATAGGCGTCCACAAGAAATCAGAACTTATTTGTGCGGGTATTGATGTATATTTGTCAAAAATGGGCAAAGCGAGGCAGTTACTTCCACACCGTGTGGTCAATATCGTCTTCGTCCATCACGTCATCGTCCGTCATGAGTTCCGACATGCCATACTTGTCCATGTACTCGTCCTCCGAAAGGTGGCCGTAGAGCCGGTGCTTGTCGTTGACCATGTTTTCCCAGTGCTTTTCGAGCTGCAGCATCTTGCGGGTTTCTACCAATGGATCGTATTCGCGTTTGGATAGTTGGATAGTTGGGATGGATACCTTCGGTCATGAAATGCACGACAATCGTGTTAATGTCGGCAATCATCCAGTCGTCGCAGTCGCGGCCCTCGACGACGTAGCCAAAGTCGTCGTCCATCGACCGCGCCTTCATCGAGAGGATCACCATGTCGGCCATGCGCCGCATGTGGGCGCGCGATCGACCGGTGCAAAACACCATGTGCTCGGCGAGGCTCGACTTGCCGGCCAAGTCGATCGTGTAGACGTCAATGGCCTGCTCCCGCGCCAGCGCCGGGAGGAGTTCGTCCATCGTAATGTACGTGCTACGAGACCATCAGAGCATGCAAGCGCCCCGGATCGTACTTTGTGACGGGGGCAATGATGTCGGCGTGGCGCGACCCGGCGTCCGGCAGCGTCCAGTCGTAGGCTGGCGACGCCGGGTCCGCGACGTCGTCGTCGTTCGCACTGCCCGGCGCAAAGTTGAGCGGCGCCGAGTCGTCAAGGTACATGCGCACGAGCTCGTCGTAACCCTTGGCCGCGTCGTCTTCCGTCCAGAACTCGCCGGCGTCAACCTCGACCTCGCCGACTTCAAGGCTTGCACTCCACTTTTTGATGCGCGACTCGTGGAAGGTCACACCACGGAAGCGCTCGGACGCCACGCCCACGTCCTCGACAATGGCCTCATTGAGAGCGTCCTCTCCATTCTCCTCTTCATCGTCGTCTTCATCGTCGTCTTCATCGTCGTCTTCATCGTCGTCATCGTTGGTGATGGTGATCTTGGTCTCGTCGTCTGCCTTCAACATGGCGCGGGACACATGCAGGCTGCGCGTGGCAAGACCATGCAGCGACGACGCCATCGGCGGAAGCGTGCGGGCGCGGGCCCATGCAGCCGACGGCAGCGGCTTCTTCGCAGCGAGCTGGCGGCCCACAGCCCGGCGGATGGCGGAGGATACGACGCGCATGTTCGGCAAGTTCAAATTGAGTTCATTGGTCAACCTCTCGTCGAGGCTATCCGGACATACCGGATACCCTACCTTTAAACGTTATTCGCGTCTTTTACCTCGTGTTTACCCGTCGAGGTTAAAGTATGGTGTCGTTGGTGGCGCAGTAGCGTCGTTGGCTCGTGGTACGTTGGTACCTGTATGGCACAGGGCTTGGAGCATGTCCTTGCTGCGACTTGGAGCATCGCGCTAGTTGCGACATGGAACGTCGCCTGGGCGGCGATCTGCGTTTAAACAAATTAAACGCATTCGGTTCTGTGTTTAAGCAGAGATCCCGGTGACCCGGGGCTCGATTAGCATCGTGACAGCAGGATTTTATGCACCCCGGGGTACGACGCGAAGGATGTGCAAAAGATATTTCCTGCCCGACGAGATGCGGTCGTCGACGGCCGTGGCCGCGAGCGCGCCGTCGCCGCCTCGTCCAGCGGCGCCGTCGCTGCTGCTCAAGACATCGGCCATGCAGTCGGCGCTCTTTGAGCCATCGGCCAAGGGTATTACGATCGGGTCTGGCGCGTCGAATCGGTTTTGCATCGCGTCGGATGCGTCTGTAGGTGGCCACCCGCGACGTCGAGCCTTAGGCTATGGCATGTAGGTGGACCTTCACCACGCGACGCTCGAGCACACGGCGGTACATGGCATCTGGGTCTACGTGGACCACAGCCGCCATGGCTCGTACGATCGAGACGCGTGCCATGTGCATCGGTCCGCGGCGATCGTGGGCGATGGCGACACATTCATGCTTGGCGCAACCCAAGTGCAGATCCATTTTTACACATCTGTGCCGAGCACCTCGCAGCAATCCCATCACGGGCTGCAGCATCTGGTCACGGCGCCGTCGCGGGCGATCGCGCCGCCCGACTACACCAACTCGCCGCTGCCCAAGCACAAGCGGGCGCAGCACCGCCCGACCGAGTTTTCGTTCGACCCGCTGCATTTCCAAAAGCTCCATGCGACGTCCGTGCCGCTCGAGTATGCTGCGTCGCCGCCCGTCGCGAATCGCCTCCACGTCGGACCGGTACATTTCGACGGATGGCCGCAAAATCATGTTGGTCCTAGACTGCAGCGACGAAACCAGCACCGTCCAAGCGTGACGACCTACGCATACTAGTGTCCAAGAAGATGGCGAACCTCAACCCCAAGCCATCGGTGCTGCATGCGTCACCGACGACGCCACCGCACCTCGTCGCGGGGCATCACCACCAAATTCCTCTGCCCCGCAAGACGATGCCAACGTTCGCCTTGGACATTGAACCGCTGCGATCGGCGACACCGTCGACATCGACGCGCGTCTCGTCATCCATGTATGACGACGACGGCATGGACGACGATGTCTTCTCGAGCGTCGACAGCAGCGCGCCGACCGAGGTTGCCAAGTACCGCGATTCGGTGCTGCGTCCATCTCTCTTTGCATCGCCTTATACTAGTATGGTGCTAGCTCGAGTCGCTGGGTAGTGACAACCAAAGCAGCAGAAGCAGCAGTGACGAAGACGACGCCATGGCGCCGCGGTCCAATGACCACTACACACCCAACATTCCTCCCCGGCGTGTAATTGACGGCGACGACCTTGAGACGCAGCATCGTTTGATCGCCTCGCTTCGGCTCAAGCGCGTCCAGCCCAAGATCCAGACGTCGCCGCAAGCACTGCTCTCGCCGTACAAGACGGCCAAGTCCCTGCGCCACGACCCGCTCCAATTTTACATGGAGTCGCCGCGCGAAGCGTCGTCGTACTTTGACTATAAGGAGCACTAGGGCCATCGACGGCCGCCACCATTGTACAGCGGCTTGTCGCGGACGTCGCTTCCTGCATCCCGGCAGAGACGGGCGGTTTTGTCATGAAATTTGCGTACCTACTATTTGTCAACAAAAAGGAATGACATGTTTGTTTGCTCCTGCCTTTGCTCGGTCGATGGGGTTGCCGATGAGCTCAACCAGCTGGCATTCAACCCTGGCCAGAGCCACGAGGCGGCGTCACACCACCGGCTCCGTGACGGCTCACCCAGTCGTTGCCTCGCTTCTCGACATCGCGCGACGAAGCGATGCGATACGAGCGCAATAAGATCTGCAAGAACGGTATAGAGCTATACTATAAGACTAAACTAAAGCCTGCGACAAGAGGAAGCAGTTTCCTCCCAACATGGCGCTTCCTCCTCCCGTCCCACGGCGAAAGATCGCGTGGCCGGCTTCTTTTTATGGCGCCGGCTAGGCTTATACAATTATTTTACCAGAATATTCCTGTAAACTTGGACTTTGTATGAAACACGCGATTTCTCGAAATAAAATGCGAGGGATGCGGCCGTTTCAAGCCTCTAGCCAATCGCATCGCGTGTGCGCCGCACTGTCCATTTTCATTGGTCAGTGGCACACACCGGTTTTGCACTCAACTTGAAGCTGATTGCGTTTCATTATACCGGACCTGGTTAAACTGAAAATTTGTATACATATACAAACCGCGAGATGTATATTAGAAAAGCCAGAGCCGGGCGACGCATACAAACCGTAGGTGCAAAGCGGTTGCAAAAAAAGCCCATTTGAATGGGATGCATTTTATTGTAATAATATTATACCGCGACGTCACAGGCCGTCGGGTCATTTGCGCATTTTTGGCCGACGTCGCTTCCTCTGCCACCGTCCTCGCCGTCGACGCCAGCTGCTACCGTGACACTCGCCTGCGACTTGCGCTCCATCGCCTTGACGCTGCCCATTCACCATACCGCCTTTGACGACCAGCATGCAGTGCTCTGGCCAAGGCTCTTGCGAGACCATACTAGCACCCAAGTCGATGCTGCCCACCGTGCGTAAGAGCATAAGCGACAACCAGCTCGACGACATGAGCGCGATCGGCGCCGTGGAAATTGAAGACTCGCACCACGACATCCAGCCCATGATTGCGAATGAGCAGACGCTGCGCAAGGAGCGCAAGCGCTGCAAAAGCCTCGAGCTTGTCTACAGCGACGACGAAGCGTCGACGGCCACGTCGACGGTCTCGCTCGTCACGACACCGCCCAGCAGCACCAAGAAGGGCAACTGCGTCGTCCAGACGCGCTGCACAAGCTACGAAAAGCTGTGCCTCTGCGAAGTCAAGCAGCACCGGTCGGCTGCGTCGTGCTGGCTCGTCGCCAACGGCATCGTGTACGACGTGACCGACGTCATGGCCCAGCACCCGGCAGGCATCAAGTGCATCCTCCGCAAGTCGGGCGGCGTCGACTGCGCGCAGGACATGAAGTTTCACTCGAAAGCAGCCCAAAGCTGCTGGTCGAAATGCAAGATTGGCATGTTGCAGCCATGTGGCGACGTGCCCGAAGCCAACGAGAGCGCGTGCGCGATCATGTAAGCCGCTCTCGCTTATTTATTGTCGCCTAGTTGTAAGTTAACCATTGGCATCTGTGATGATCGATGGCGCCCGATTCTAATTTTATTTCCCATCCTTTGATCGATAACCATGCGAGCTACACTAGACGATGCTGTCGAGCTACGTCAACCTCTCTACGTAACAAATACGATCACAGTGCGTCCAGAGACTCAACGCAGGTCCCAAAATGGACCAAGGACGGAATGGCCACCACCGTCGCTCGGCCTTTCTGCTTGGCGTCGGACAAGACAATGCAAGCGCAGACGCAAGACAATGAGCGATGGTCCTCTTACATGGTTACCGCCACGTCGACGGCGAGGTTCGCTTTGCGTGTCTAGGTGAACTGCTTCATAAACTCGGTCGCGACGACGCGGCCACGGGCGTTGAGGTTGATCTTCATTTCGCTGATCTCCTTGTCAATGTCTTCCATAAACTGGATGATAAAGTCCACGAGCTTGTGCTTGTACAGGTTCTCCAAGTGGCCATGCGTGATGAGAAAGCTCATGTCGTAGCCCTACCCTTCGCATGAGCGATGGAATGCGTAGCGCCTCGTACCTCGATGGGCTTGCGGCGAAGGATGATGAATTGCTCGGCGCGTTGCATGAGGAAGCGCGAAAACTTGTGGCACAGGATGCTCTCGATCTCGTCGGCTTGCTTGATGCAGATCGAGACGCGCGCCGAGTTGATGCTGGGCTCAATGCAGCACTTTTCGTTTTCGTTGCGGCAAATCACGATCGGCGTCAAGATGAGCTCCTTGCTCATGCGCACCTCGACCTCGGGCTTGTTGTGGCGCTCGACGACCTGCGACGGGAAGTTTTGCAGGCAGAGCGCGCCGTCCAGCGTCGCGCGGATCGCGTTCAGGTACGGCGCCAGCGTGTTCGCCTACAGAGGCCATGCCATGAGCCATGAGCCATCGCCGTCGGCGGCGGCGGCGTACCATGGCTGCAGCGGCGAAGTCGGCGAAACAAAGATTAGGTTGCCAGCCGCAGGCGACGTAATCCCTTGAAACTTGATACAAATATGCATTTCAAGAGAATACCAAGACATAAATATTTAGTGTGTATCATTCGGCTATGCAATCTATATAGTGTGAAAATGTACGGTCTACGCCGCCGGCCGTGCTGCATGGCTCTTGTTGAAGCACGTGTCCATGGCGCCGATGTGCGTCAATGTAAAGCTGTGTGCTAGGCGCCGGTGTGGACAGTTGGAAAAGGACGCGCGGTGTATTGACGGCCATCGTCCCATGCGTGACATGCGCACACTATTTGCGTCAATAGGACAGTATTTAGAATCAGGATCGGGGAATACTGTCACAACCATTTCCACGCGTCGCGTCCCCATGTCCGTGGTCGGTTGCCATGCTTGTGACGAAGGATGGTCGCCTCATGCAGCATGACCTTCCATTAGATCTGCATTGGGCCCGTGTGCATCCCGATCTACTCGCTGCTGCCGTTCTTGCTGCTCTTCCTGCAGCGCTGCTGGGGCTGGCTCACCGGGAAGGCCAAGGTTGAGGACGATGCTTCCGCGACCGAGGGCGCGACCACCGCCGACGGATCGTCGACGCTGCGTCAGCGCAAGGGCGGGCCGACCAACGTGATCACTATGACCTCCACGGCGCACTGGAAGGAGCACTTGGCCATGACGTCCGAGCGCCCGGTACATGCGAGCAGTCGCTTGGACGCAATCGCTCATGTCGTCCTGTGCACTAGCTCATTGTCGACTTTACGGCCACGTGGTGTGGCCCATGCAAGAAGATTGCTCCGTTTTTTGCCGAGCTCAGCGGACGCTACCCGCGTGGTATCTTTGTCAAGGTCGACGTCGACGAGCTCGACGTACGTTAACTTCGACCATTATGCATGGAGACATGGGCTCACGCATGCGATAGGACGTCATGAGCAGCTGCGGCGTCCGCGCCATGCCCACCTTCCAAGTCTACAAGTACCAGAAGAAGGCCGACGAGCTTGTCGGTGCCAACCCGGCAGAGCTCGAGCGCCTCGTCGCCCGCCACTGCAGCTAATCGACGTGACTGCTGCAGTCTTCGCACGAAGCCACGTATATACTATGGCTTTGATATCACCAACTCAATAAGTTGTCTACTGGCGAGACACGAGAATAAGAAAAGATAAGACTTGCAACTGCAACCTTCTAAACTCTTGCCAAGCGCAAAAACCACCGGCAGTCGATGCGCATGCATTTGCTCGCGATGTACAACCCCCAGGGGTGCAGCGAGGAGTCCGCCAGTTGAAATACGATCCAGCATCGCGGACCACGGACTGCAGCGTTGTGCACGAGCGGCTGTATGATTGTTTGTGGCACTTGCCATAAATAACCACATTTTGCCAGAAATAGCCACCGTGGGCACGAGCCGGTGAGCGGAGGTCGCACGATCGGCCAAATCATGCTTGGAAATGTAATCGCTCGTACTTACCACCGTGATAGAAGACACTTTGGAGAGCTCGAAATGCCATGTGGCGCCGCCGTGCGAGCTCTGTAGGCAGAGAAAATGACAAAGGCTCTCGCTACGAGTAGGCGGATGCAGGAATTACGGATAATGCAACGTATTACGGATGATGCAGCGTATTACGGGTAATGTAGCATATTACAGATAACGGTAGCATATTACGGATACGATGCCAAACATTCTCGCCACTTGCGAAGTCGGACGCCGCCAGCATATCCATGACCTGCGTACGCGTCCCTCGACAAGCTGCGAGACTGGATGGCTCTTGACGCTGGCTACACCGTAGATCTGCATTGGCCCTCTGTGCCTGCCCATGGAGGCCGTCCTTCCGTTCCTCCTCGCGCTCCTCTACAAGGCGTGGGCGTGGCTCACAGGCAGCGCGGCGCCCCAAGTGACCGCCACCGCTTCGTGCTGCGCCGCCGAGCCCGGAAGCGCTGGCGCCGACGGCTCCCAATTGCGCCAGCGCAAGGGCGTGAGCTCGATTGTTGCGGTCCATACACGTGCCGAGTGGGACGCGCTGCTGGCGTCGAGCCGCCCCGTACGCGACACAGAGCGATCTCGCGTGCTGAGTGACGGCGTGTAGGTGATTGTCGACTTTACAGCCACGTGGTGCGGTCCGTGCAAGAAGATTGCGCCCACCTTTGACGCGCTCAGCGAGCAGTACCCGTCGCTGATGTTTTTCAAGATCGATGTCGATGCGTGCGATGTACGTCGATCGATGATCCACTGGGCAGCATGGACATCACGGTGCGATAGGACATTGCCGCGACCTGCGGTGTCTCGGCCATGCCAACGTTCCATGTCTATGTGTCGGGCCGCAAGCAGGACGAGCTCTGTGGCGCCAACCCGTCCAAGCTCACGGCGCTCGTTGAGCGCTACGCCGCCTCGTCGTCCGACTAGCATGCGACGCTGTAGAGCTGCATCAAGTAAACGCTAGCTGTAATACGTAGTGCTCGTACGTGGAGTGCGTATTTGACGCCTTTGAGGCTCTTTTTTGCGTCTCCGTTTGGGCTATGGGCTCGTAGCCATCAACGTCATTCAGTCGCCCGCCGCTTGTGATCGGGTGGCAGCTCTCCCGCCTCTCGGCTATATCCTTGCTCCACAGCTGTACCTTTGGACTTTGGGAATGCAAGACGTCATGCGATTCGAGTGCACTCACGATGGCAACTAAGGACAACGCTGGCTTCCGGTCTACGATTGCCAGTGGTTTTCATCGCTATCGGTATCTGTCGTTCCCGTAGCATATCGCTCATAACGTGTCGACATATTTTTCATGTTTAATTGGAAGTCACTTTCTCAAGTCGTCTAACGATTTATGACAACAATCAGATTACGCAAGCAATGTTTGGGACGCTTCGCCTTCTTTCTTTGTACTCGGACACGACTTTGCGCGGAGCTTGATCGACTCGGAATGCGAGATGATGCCAATGCCAAGAAAGATGCCGCCGACGCCGAGGCTGTAGAGCACCCAGTTGACGAGCGACTCGTCGTTCATGTCGCTGAAGAAGCAAATGCCCGAGATCGCACCGGCCGCGAGGAGCGTCGACTCGTAGAGGTAGATGACGAAGAGCGCGTCATACAGGCGCAGCGCCAAATTGAGGAGGCGCAAGCCCATGAGAGCAAAGGAGATGGCACCGGCGCCCACGAGATAGGCGAGCGGCGTGGTAAAGAGCACCTACACGCACGTTGGAACCGCTTAAAGGACATAGTAAATGACAGACCTTGACGCCGTTTTGAAGGAGGCGGAGGAGTGCGGTCATGCAGTAGAGCTGGCCCGAGAGACTGCCCGCGAGGATCGCGAGAGAGACGCGGCACGACACAGTCTTGTGGCTTGTCGAGCCTGTCGAGGCGGTCAAGGCGGCGCGGGCAAAATACCGCAAAACGAGACTCGAGACGAGAAATACGGTAAAATACACTTCAAACGCAAGGCTTGTGAAATGCGATGCGAGCTCGTCGACTGGAATCTTGTGCGTCTTGTGGCTGCCCGTGATGGACACGAGGATGCAGCTGGCAAAGACGACGGCCGCGCCGACAATGTCCTACTCACGTCAGGGACATCATAGCACGGCAGAGAAGGGTAAGTACCCGTCCCCAGAGCGGCTCGTCAAGGATCCAAGGCGAAAAGATCGTGTTCCATACGATACAGAGGCCACCCATGGGCGCGAGCAGCGACTGCGGCGCAAAGTTGAAGGCGGAGATGCAGAAGAGCGGGTTGAGCAGCACGATGCAGGCCATGCCCATCGCCCACATGGCGCGGCTATGGCGCTGGAACGAGAGCTTGAGGAGGATCTTGCCGAGGACGCCGATGATCGACGCGATCGCACTCAGCAGCACGCCCAGCGGCCACCCGAGAAAGCTGTCCATGCCTCCCTTCTTGGTCGCCCGCCTGTCTGCGAATATGCAAAGCTTCGGGTTGCCGTTTCGAACCGGATACACTCCATGTATCCGGATAAAAGTATTTTGGCGTCGCAGCGGTTACTCGAACGGTTTGCTAACGGCTACAAGTTGGTCTGTCTGCAATATGTCGTGAAAAAGCATCTACGTACTTGTAGCCGATAGCTCTCTGTAGAGGGTGCGAGTAGGACGGGTACTGTGCTTGACAGCGGTAAATGCATGCACATGAAAGGGTGAACGAGGCAAGACGTGGTCGGCTGGGCTAGCCCGGGATGACTGCAAGGAACGCTAGACTGTTTCGTGGCGGGATCACCACGGTGCGTCGCTATTCTTGCCATTGTTAAAGGCGCTGCGATGCATCAAGTAGCGTTGAGTTGTCGTGGTCGCCATAGCGTGTTGTAAACTAGCTCGATTTCTCTGGCGTCTCTCGATGCATTCTCATTCTTTGTGTATATCATTCATTGTGCGGTTATAAATTGCCATACAAAGCAGTGTAGCATCGTCCCCAATCAGTGACCCGGCAGCGGGGACACGTCGAGGGACTCTTCAATGAACGGCGCGTTGTCGAACGAGTAGACTTCAATCTCGGGGGCGCGCCCCCCAGCCTCGAGAAACAGTTGTTTCGTTGCGTCCACAAACGCCGACGAACCAGCAATGTAGAGCCGTCGGGTCGAAAGGTCGGGCGCGACACTGAGCAGCGCGTCTTTCGACAGCTCTTTGGCCGTCGCAATCTTGAAGCGGTCCCAGTGGATCGTTTGAAAGGCGCTGATCGGGTTGGACGTCACGTGGAGAGCGGCAATGTCGCCGTCCCACTTGTCCTTGACGCTCTGACAGCCCTTGATCATGGCATGGAACGGCGCGGCGCCAATGCCTTGGCTCACAAAAAGCAGCTTTTTCGGAATCGCGTCGGGCGTGTCGGTTTCAAAGTGCACGCCGCCGTTGATCCAGTAGACGTTGACAACCGAGTCGACGTTAGCCTCGACGAGCCACTTGGACGACTCGGACGTTGCTTCGACGCAAATGTCAAACGGCTTGACCTCGGGGTCGTAGACGCTCGAGATTGCGTAGCTCCGTCGGACCTCGCCCGTATGCATCGGCAGTCCAATCAGAATCGAGTCGCCGGCGTGGTATCGGAGTGGAAAGTCCATCGTGATCGAGAGCCGCACCGTGTTGTCGCCAATGGTCTCCTTGGCGGCGATTTTACCTGGAAGGCTCGGCTTGATCGGCTTGGGCTGCTTGTCCATAATGACGGGCAGCATGAGGTAATAGAGGAAGCAGTATGCCGTCAAGTACGCCTCGTGCACCGCTTCGTTCCACTCGGGGCCCGAAATGATCGCCAATGTCTTCATGAGCACGAGACCCATGACGTTGTAGTGCTCTTTCGTCGCCCCAAACATCGTGTGGCGCGCCGCGAGGTCTTGGCACACTTGCACGACGTTCTTGGACTTGATGACGGTCGACATGGTGCCGATGATGCCCGCAAGCACCTTGCCTTGGACAGTCATGGACGACCGAAACATGGGGCGGATCGATGGCGCCTCCTTGAACATGAGCGAGTAGAACGTCGTGTAAAAGAACTTGGTGGGCGAGAGGTGCTTGGCCGCATCGTACGCGACCGTGCCCTTATTGACCGCGACCCAGTTGGCCTTGATGAGCGCCTCGTGCTCTTTCGTGACGATCGGACGCTTGACGTCGAGGTCCATGGCGTCCATGAGGAAGGATAGAAACGACTCCTTGATGCCGAGGTTGCCGTCTTCATCGACGTTGACCATGGACGCTTCCTCGTGCGACGCGCCACCACCCATGCTGCTGCTTGATTCGCTGCTCGTTGTGTGCTGCCACGAGCGCTGTTGGGAACAAACGTTCGATTTCTGAACCGGCGCGCCCTTTCGCCAAACGGCGCCACCAACACCTATATAGTGTGCACATGGTATGCACCATGCGATGCACTCTTCTCCAACACTATTGAAGGGTTTTGAAATACATATAT